CTCCCCGCCCCTCCCCTCCCACACACGGTCCGGGCCACCTCCCTCCTCCTCTCCGCCCCCTCCTCCTCCGCGGTTGTCCCCGCACCCTCGCGCCTCCCGCTGAAGGCCTCGACTCCGGCCCCTTCGGGTGAAGAAGCGCTTCTTCTTGCTGACACGGTGCGGTGCGGAGCGGAGGAGGGAGAGCAATGGCGCCGTGACACTCCACTGCCGCCACCGCGGGCCCGGGGCGGGCCGAGGGGGCCGAGCGGCGGAGGCGGGGCGCGGGCCGAAGTCGGGTATCCGGCGGGCGGCCGAGCGCAGGCTGGGCGGCCGCGCCTGTCGGGACTCGGGTTCAGCCCCCACGGCGCCCCGTCCTTTTCCTGGGCTATCGGTCCTGGGGATCCGACTGGAGCTTGTCGGGTCCAAGTAGCGAGCGAGGCGGGGGCGCGGTGGGCCGCTGGCGAAGTCCGGAGCGGAACGGACGGGCGCCCGTGGGGTGCTCGCTGCCCCCTCGGCTCCCGCGTCCCGGGTGCCCTCCGAGGGGATCTTCTCCTCCCGCGGCCGGTGAGGTTTCTGCCCCTCCCCGCCCGCGTTTGTTTACTTTCTTTTCTGGGTCGGTCCCCCGCGGAGACTGATTTCTGGCTTGTCTTTCTCGTCCCCGTGGTTCTAGCGGCGGAGGACGGCGCTGGTGGAGCTGGAACCCCATAGGTCACCGATGAAAATGAAGGTAAGTGGAGTCAGCGCTGCTCCGAACCTCGTGCCCAGGACACTTGGCTGTCGTGAGGCTAGTGCTGTGGAATGTCATTATTTTTTCCCTTTGGCTGCTCAGGATGGGTTTCTCGGCCAGGCAGCGCTTTCTGAAAAGCAGGACGTGTTGAATGGGCGAGAAGTGATCATTGTGTCCAGAGGCAGGCAGCTCGGCCCATCTCGGAAGCAGCACTTTGGAAAGGCTGCTGCAGCCTTTCCATTGTTGTCCATTGGGCTAGTATTTTTAAACACTTCCTGTGTTGGCAGCAATCTTTGCAGAAGTAAAAGCTTTTGTCCTGCTTTGGTTCTTTGGGGGATTTTGGGGAGATATTTTTATTCTTCCTCAGTGCCAGTGTGATTTTTTTCGAAGGAAAAAAAAAATAGGTGGATTGTGTAAGGGAGGTATCATTTTTGTTGGAGGTAAAGTGAAATTCTGTGGTTAAAATACTTCAAGTTGAACAAAACTAACAGTTTTAGTTCAGTCGTTATAGTAAATAATTTTAAGCCTGTAGCTGACCAAAAAATATGTGTATCTTCTTCTGAAGACAACTAATATTGCCAACATCATATGTGATGTTTAAGGGAGAAGAAGGGGATAGCAGTCTAGTGCTGAAGGATTGAATGTTTTAGGTCAGCTATTAACTTGCTAAAAGTATTCCTTTTCAGTTTGCATTATTTGAAAATACACTAACTTTACGAGGTTCTTGATTTCTTAGTCATTTACTATTTCAGTATATTAAGCCCTGAAATACAGCGTTTTCCCAAATTTTCTCTTGCCTTCTTAAAGTGACCTTTAATGTTACTTATCTTTTTTAAGGTTACATGTAACTTTTAATATTACTTGGGAAAACTTACTGGAAAAGTACAATCATTTCCTACTTAAAAATGTGTCTCTTAAGTGTGTACACTGTAACTTTTGCTCTTGGCAATGTTGAATCAAACTTGTATGATACCTTACCTTTTGAAAAAAATAGGTAAAATGATAGATTGAAGTAGCAGTCACTGTTATTGTCAACATTAAAATGAATCGTAGAATGAAATTTCTCACATCTTTCAATGTGTCTTATGGGCCATTGGCTAAAAGTAGGTATTTCTTAGTAAAGCTTTTTATATTATATACCCAAAAGACTACTGTGATAAACTGGTATGGCTACAAGTCTTGTGCCATCAGTTCATATCTCTGCATTCATCAGACTTAAACCTTTAAAATGCAGCTTTTAGCCAATGATTTTTTTCAAATAATGCTCTCCTTATCAAAAGGATTGGCGTCATTTCTTATCTGTACAATTATACCGTACCTGAAAAGATGTTGCCTTTATGTAGCTATATTAATAAGCATATAATTACATATTGTTGGTATTAATTTTAATAGCATTATCTTTTTATTTGAAAACAAAATTTTCCCGAGACCATAATTGAGTAATTTAAAGTATTATGAGACACTTAATGTGCATATATTTTTTGTTTTTTTCTTATTTTTAATTTTTAAATAAATTTTAGAATTGTTGAAACATTTTGTATCTGGAGAAAAAATTGTATATCCCTACTGATACTTCCCAGTTTTTTGTTTGTTTTTTAATATATTTTATTGATTTTTTACAGAGAGGAAGGGAGAGGGATAGAGAGTTAGAAACATCGATCAGCTGCCTCCTGCACACCTCCTACTGGGGATGTGCCCACAACCAAGGTACATGCCCTTGACCGGAATCGAACCTGGGACCTTTCAGTCCACAGGCGGACGCTCTATCCACTGAGCCAAACCGGTTATGGCCCAGTTTTAATTTAAATGTTTTATGTTATCAGGATATAGTTTATAAAATAAAAGATTGTTAATAAAGTGTTTGCTTTGGGGCATTTTTGAATTATCACTGATATTAGTAAACAAATAGTGTTACTGTTTTTATTACTTAAACACAGCCTTTTAATGAGTCTTGAGTTTGGAGTAGGGGAAAATAGTAGTGAAATTCACATTTTATGTTCTTTCCATCAGGCGGCTGATGAGCCTGCCTATCTGACAGTGGGAACTGATGTAAGTGCCAAGTACCGAGGTGCCTTCTGTGAGGCAAAAATTAAGACTGTGAAAAGACTGGTAAAAGTTAAGGTAATTTTTTTTTTCTTTTTATGTAACAGCATTACTAACTCTAGATTGAAAAGTGTTGGGGAGGAGAGGCATACTTCAAATCAACATTTCTTTATTGGATCATTATTTTGTGCAAGCACTGTTATACATAAAACTATAGGAAAAGCACATTAAGGTTTGAGAAATAACAAAATGAGAAATTATTTCAAAGTGCTTCCATGAAAATACCATGTTCATGATACTTCTTATCTTTTGGATCTTTCCTGTTTGTGGCATCATGCTTACTTAGGCTGTAATTTCTTTTTGCATGATGTTCACATTGCGACGGTTTCAAGTGAATAGGAATAATAATACAGTGGGAATTGTGTTTTCAAGATAGCATTAAAAATGATTTAGGAAATTTATTTTTAAGATGCTTTTATGACCAGAAAAAAACAACACATTATTCGTGTACAATATTTGGAAATATAGAATGTACCGAAGGATTAATGCCCATAGCTTACCTCTTAGAAATACTAATATTAACATTTTTTGTGTTTCCTTATAGTAATTTTCCTATATAAATGTTTTTAATAATCTTAGTTATAGTTCATTAATTCAGCAAACATTTATTAAGTGCCTATAAAATGCATTGACATTTGCTAACTGCTGGGCCTATAGTGATGATGGAGGACTAGAGCCTTCAAGGAGCTCACAGTTAATGAGAGAGACAATAAACATAAATACAAGGCAATGTAATAAGTATTATAACAGAAGTAACCACAGGATGCTAAGAAAGCATAGATTAAAGACATTGTTGTTAGAGTATTACCATAAATGTACTGTTTTAAAACTAACATGAATTATTGTGCAAAAATATTTTTCAGGTACTTCTGAAACAGGACAATACTACACAGTTGGTGCAAGATGACCAAGTAAAAGGTCCTTTAAGAGTACGTATGTTCTACAGTTTAAAATCTGAAATGATGAATAATTCATACAATAACTTACTGAGTTTTACATTTGTAGATACAATTTTAAAATTTTAGAATGTTAGAGAATAAAAATACAAATGTGATGTTATAGAGTTGGTATAAATTATGATAATACAATGGCTATTTCCTTAATTTAAGAATGTTAAACATCTTATGGGAGCGTAACTTTTAACGTATATAAACATGAGTTTCAGCGCCTCTTACTTTTGAATTCTTTGATTTAATGCTTCATTTTGATTTTTAGGTTGTTATATATATTTAGCTTGCTAAATAATATACTAATATAAATCTGAATCTTGTTATTCTTTCTAACATACCAAGTAAACTGTTGACTTTATAATTAAAGCTATTTTTGCTGTGTTGTATGGTTTTTCGGTTCTTACATTCCACAGTTTTCTTGAAGACAATGTGTTATAGTAAAAAGGCTCTGAAGTAAAACTGAAGGGACTGGGTTCTCACTGTATCCTGCAGGTTATTTTCTCTTTCTGAGCCACAATTCTCAATGTGTAAGATAGGGGTAGTAATAGCTTTCCTATGCCAAAAGGGGGCTCAAACGGCATGATAAATGTATGAGCACTATTAATAATAAAGATCTATTCAATATAAGGTAGAATTATTCTAAGTATTATTATTTTTTCACCCAGGTGGTAGTGATTTGGTTTGTTTACTTTTGGAAATGAATTTTTCATTTTGTGTTTTAGGTTGGAGCTATTGTTGAAACAAGGACATCCGATGGATCCTTTCAGGAAGCTATTATCAGCAAGTTGACAGATGCTAGTTGGTATACTGTGGGTAAGTAGTTAAGTAGTAATTTAATCCATAGGATTGGATTTGTAGGTTGCATATACCTCTGTTTTGTAAATACACTGAATCATTATGTTGGCAGAGAAATATGTATTCTTTCCTGTCACTTATCTCTTATAGTAACTTGGTTTTTGTGGCTATTTCATCCAAGATTATATGGTAATTTTTTTTCCACAAGAAAAGTCAGTACAACTTAGTGTTGTAAATAATCAGACTTTTTAACTTTCTGTAATTACAATTAGGATTGCATAGTTGCAATCTTTTAGTGTTGCTGTCTGTTTTATATAAGGGTAGTGTAGATGTTACCATGGGATTCACTGAGTACAAAATTCTGACCAGAGTAGATTCAAGCCTACATAATCATAGTTTAATTTTTAAAATATGACACAGTGAGGGTAAGGAAGATAAATGTCCGATAGCTTTGGCAGCACATATACTAAAATGGGAACGATACAGAGAAGATTAGCATGGCCCCTGTGCAAGGATGACACCCAAAAAAAAGGAAGGAAGGAAGGAAAGAAGGATGGAAGGAAAGATAGATATGTGCTACTAATATGAATTCACTCTTAACATTCCATGCATAACCTTATAGTGGCTTAAAAAAACTTTACTGTAGTGAATAGCAAGTGTCATAATACAAATAAATTAAAACCTAAATGTAGTGCTTATATAGTTGCTGTCATTATGTTGATGAGAATATCAGTAATTAACATTCCTAAATTTTCTCTCAGTACTTCCAAACTATACAGTCATGTGAATAACATCCAGTCCTTGGTTTTACATTGAACATCTATCTCATTGTTTGTTTTTATGTTATATCTTGGTACAAATAGTATGACAGTGATGTGGTATCCTTGTAGAAGTAAGAGAAATGGCTCTTAGATTTACTTGATTTGTTGCTTCGAGTAAAAAATATTTATTTGCAGTTGTTCAAAGCTGTGAAGAACATGCTTTGGTTAACAATTGTACTTCCTGTCCCTCCTTATACCCCCTTGGCTTCTATTAGTACTAGTAGCAATTTACTGAACATGACTACTACACTACTATTTTCTAACTATTTTTATTCTAACTATTTTTATCCAGCCATTGCTGGATTTCCTAGAAGTTGGTATTGGTTCACAGTGGTCTATTATTCTGAACTACATATTTTTAGGAAGCTTAGTTGTGGCTATTGGTAGATGTTAGAAGTTTAAAAACTAAGCTAATGTTTACTCTTAGAGAGTAAGTAAATACAGTTTTGCTATATTAAATAAGGCAGTGACAAAAATTTCAAGAGTTGTGTGCAGAATCATGTTATATGATGCATGTTCAAATACTAATACCTCATTCTATTTGGTGTCCAATATCAAGCTTGTATTCATAATACTTGTATGGTTTTATTGATATAATACGCTTCTGCAGAAGCAATACTTTTCAGGTTTTCACATTCTTGATTTCTAGAACCTAGAATAATCCTTCAATTGTGAATAGCAACCTCTATCCTTTACATGAAAGGCATTTTAGCATTTCTAAAAACTAGTTGCTACTGAGCATTCTCTATGGTGATTTTCCCATCGGTAATTACAGAATTACAGAATTCTTGTTCTCAAAGAATTTAGAATTATAATTACACATAATTCATGTATCACAGTCACTAGTGTACATAAGAATCACTTGGTGCTTGTTTAAAAATTGAGATTTGAGGACCCCAAGTCTCTCTAATTTAGTAGATCGGGAGGTGGCAACCCAAGAATCTTTCTTTTTATATGCACAATGGCTGAATCTAATGTAGCTAGTACACACTTAGGAAAACAAACCACACTTGGAGAAACAGAGACTTATCCAGGAGAAAAATTAAAATTTTTTAAGATCTTTGCATCTGTGTAATGAGAGAATTATCTAAAATATTTAAGGCATGAAGAGGCACTATTCACTTAATTGTACTCAATATAGCACTCTACTATAAAGAATGTTTAGGTATTGAAGGATGTAGACTACATAAAGGATGATTTGAATATAATGAGCTTAACCCATTGTACGCCATTAAGCATCTGTAGACACAAGCAGCGGACCTTCCCCACATGCCGCACGTCTATTAAAAAAAAAAAATGTTTTCCCTATGTGGCAGCCCTGACCAACTTTAAAATCATTTTTCGTGAGAATTTTCAGCTGAAAATATTCAAGAACACCCGAATTGTGAGTAACATTTATTTTTATAATATTCATTGCAAATTGATTTTTTAAATTAAATTCAAAATGTGGCGTGTGGGGATGGTTTCGTTTTGGACGCGTGGTAGTTAACTGGTTAAGAGAGGCAAAATAAAATGATCTCTTACAGGTCATGAACTTTCTATATTTTTCTTTAAGTGTCTACTACCTATTTAATTGCTCTTTTCTGAAAATTTACTTGATTTCTAGTTCATAGGGAAGTGCTGTATAGGTAGAAACAGAAAGTTATACAAAGTATGAATGTTTTTTATGACTTTTGAAGAGGTCTTGAAATTATTTCAGAGTATTAAAAACGAAACAAAGGAGGATACCCTACTGCTGGTTTGGATTGAACAGGAACAATGAGTCAGTGATAGTAACATGGATATTAATTTTTCCTATTATAGCTTAATAACCAATTTTGAAAGAGGTTATAGATCTACTACAACACAATTTTTCAAAATCTAATAATACTTTGCCTTCTAACGGTGAACAATAAATAGCTCCAGCTCATGGATTTTTTTGTTGGTTTTTTGAACCTTGGGAATATTTCCTATCATAAAACAGTGCTTCCTAGCATAGTTTATTCATTTGGCATTTCTGTTCCTTGCATTAAAGATAAGGAATCTGTAATGTGTGGAATTGTGTTGTTAAATGTCCAGTCATTTTAAGAGTATCATAATTTGGAATAGAATTCATATCTACATTTTTCAATATTGCCATTAACTCCTGGTAAATACAACTCTCAATAAGACATTCTAAAGCTACTCCTCTTTTGCTTTTTTGGGGTATGAAAATAACACATTGATTTGAAAAATAAGGGGAAAAAATGGCTGTTAAATTTAGTAACTTATATATAAAATGTACATATGCATTACATATCAGATTTAACACTAAAATCTATTTGATCATTTATGTGTTTTTGTGACATTATTTTTTTACATTCTTAATTTTTTTTATGCCTTATAGTTATTGTTCTGCACATGCATCATATCAGATCTCATGGAACTTCTAGTTTAGATTAAACTGGTGAATGGACTGACATTTCTTTTGGAATGCGCAATAGGCTTTACAAGGTTTTTAATTTAGTTAGAGCCTCTTCTGACAAGTTGTTATAACCAAAATCAACTACAGTATGTTTTCAAAACTAGGTGGTTATTCCATTGACTAGAAAATTGTTAAGAAAAAATGTACTAAACAACAAGAAATCTATTCAGTCCTGTGATAGGCTTTAACCCCTTGTTTAAATGGCCTTTCATGAGACTTAGAATTTCCATATTTTAATCTAATTAGACATTTGAATGTTAATTTCTCAAGTTTCCAGATTCCTGAAGTTTTTGACCTTAGCTGTTGAAGGACTCAACAGATGATTTTATGAGTAACAGAACTATTGATTTTTCCTAGGGAATGCATCTATTTTTAACTTTAAAGTTTTTACTCCATTATGTGAAATATTTCGTTTATCATAACTGCAATACACAGACATAATAATACTTATTTTTCCAAAGTCAGAATTCGTTCATTTTATACCTCTGCTTCATACCTATTTATTATACATTTTGATCCCTCTTGACTAAATTGTAGCTCATTGATTAACTTTCTGATTCTCAATTTCTTTATCTATAAAAGGAAGGTAGTAATTTCTGTCTGGTAGAGGCTGCTGTGAAACTTAAGTGATAGCCAATTATATAGTGGGTAAATAAAGTTAATTTACTATTATTATCTTACTATCCTCCAGCATCTAACAGTGTTATGATAGACTACTATGTATTTAGTAGTTAGATTAGATCCTTGTTGGCTTTTGTTTCTTTAAATTCTAACAGGTTAGGATTAGGCTTTGTATATTATATTGTTTGCATTGGTATTATTTTGCCTAGAGTGAGTAAAGTTAATTGAGAGAGTTTCAGCTTTATCATTTTTCTCAAATTAGGTTTTAGTATTTATATATAATAACAGAGATACTACTTTTGTTATATCCTATTGCACTCTATGAACAATCTATTTAAATGCAAGTATAAGAAATTTCATAGAATTACTAAATCCTAATAGCCTTACGTTTTTGTTTTTTTCCTCTTGGCATGCTATAGTATACATCTTAAACTGAAAGAAGCTAAGTTTACTAAGTACACCAGTTACTTATTTCACTTATCAAAATGCCAAAGTCACTTTTCAATGCCTACAAATTTTGTGTTCTTTTAAATGATTCTTAGAAACTATAGAGAAAACTTCTTATAGGTAGAACTTTCATGATTTTGATAATTAGGATATCATGATTAATAGGTCTACCTTGCTGTTGGATTTTCTATTTGCCTTTCAGAAAATCTTGAGAAATCACATGGCTTAACAGACTTGTTAAAGAACTCAAATACACAGTTTCACATAGTTTTGTGAATTTTAAAAAAAGTCTTAATACTGTTTCTCTTCTTTCACTTGAAGAGGGAAGGGTTCCTATGTAAAGCTATGAAATTGTTTGCTCCACAATCTGCTGTTGAGAAGTTTCTTTGGTCCTTACGTTATTTCTACTGGTAGTAAATAAAATGTGATGAGTGAAATTAATCTTTTCTTACAAAAATCTGATTTATTTCAAAATGGTTATTTTGAAAAACAAGAATTAATTATGTTAAACTTGAAATTTCTCATAAAAAACATTTTGACTTGAGCTGCCATTGATTTTAATGATAAAAAACTGGGTAAAAGATTTTGTGACCTAAATTTAATATTAATTGATCTTACAGTCTCATTTTCCTTCCTCATACTTCCACTTAAATGTGTGTGTATATAAGTATGTATGTGTGTGTCCAGTGTTACCATCTTTGTAATGCAGGCATCAAGGAAAATTGGAACTTTGAAGATTTTATTCTTTAGTATCTTACGGACTTTAATATTAATGTGAAGCATTATTTTAAATTTGGTATGATAATTTTATGATTTTGAATTTTATAAAGAACAGTGGTTTATTGTTAGCCTTGACCCCATATGAATCATAATTTTGATACAAATGTTTGTTTAGAGCACTGTTAATCAAGAATAGATTAATGATGTAATTGTTGAAAGGTGCTGTTTTATCCTGTCATTGTGTCTGTCTGCAAGTGGTCATTAATTTCTGCATCATTGACAGTGTATAAAACAGCTGCTTTGTGGGATCATTAAAGTTCTTTGAATAGGTGCTTCAGGAGCTGTTAATTGCCTCTGCATTGTCTCCTGCATGTAAGAGAATCTAAGCTAGATGTCTTTAGTCTAATAAAAAGAACTGACTGTGGTAGATAAATATTGAAGAAGTAGAGTGCTCTTACATAATTGAATTTCTGGCATGAAAAATTAAGTTTATGATT